TAGACACGCATCTGATATGTTCGCCATTATAACGGATGATCAGTAAATTAGTAGTGATACATTTATATTCTATAGTGTTTTGAATGCTGTATATTCTATAATGTTATGAATGCAAAGTCTACACACTTTGTGAGTAGATCAACGCGGGACCTGATATGGCATCAGGCCAAGCACTCTGAATATCTGAGGAGTAACAAGCTGGGATTTGACTCAAGCAGACAAGTCACGGAGGATGAAGAGGTGGCAGTTGGTTGAAACTGGTAGGAGGGAAGGAAAACGAGTGCTCTTTATCGGTGTGCCCGTATTCATTGATGGGAAAGAGGTGCAGTCACACTTTTGTGATTTTCATCTTGCGGCATATGAACTTTTCCCTCTGACCAACTTTTAAGTTGGTACTAGTGTTTATTACTTTCCTAATGCAAGATTCAAATAGCTTTATTGGCATGGTGAAAGAAATCTTTACATTGCCAAAGCATTCATAAAACTATAGAATATAAATATGTAAATAGTTATAAAAATAAAAATAAATAAAAATAAAGTAGAAGTTTTTTTTTTCAACCATCTCTGTTTTGGGAAAAGGTGAACAAAATTCGGCATATTTCTTTCAGTTAGAAAAAATTTGCATTTGATTATTAATGGTACGAAAACACATGACTAAGCAAATTGCAGATTACTGTTTGACCTTTTTTAGCATTCTTTGGGGTTTAATGAAAATAATTCCTCTGTTTTTATAGATAGTCTTACTATTTCAAAAACTATAAAGGAAGATCAAAAAGAACTGGTGATAGTTCTATATCACAAAGTGATTATCATTAATCAATTGGCAGATGATACCACTTTTTTTTTCTTTTTTCTTAAAGATGCAGGAGAAATACCTTTAGCCCTTAAGATTATTTATACATTTTCTAAAGCTTCAGGGCTTTATCTGAATATAAATAAGTGTCAATTAATCTTTCTTAAAAACAGTAATCTTATATAGGTATTAAGATTGAATCACATATTTAGGCATGAAGATTGTAAAGAATCTTAGAGGAATGATGTAAGCTTAATTTTTCACCAGTCATTGACAAAACAAAGAAAAAATGTAATCAGTGGTCACTGAGTGGTTACCCTTTCCTTGAGGGGTAGAGTATTGATCAGAAAGCCAGGGGGCATCTCGAGACTTAAATACAATATGCAGCGCTCTCCTTAGCAGTTAATGAGAATATTTGTACAGTAATTGATAAAATGCTGTTTAATTTCTCATGGAAAAATAAAACCCATTATATAAAGAAATCTGTGGTTATGAACTCAACTGAAAATGGAGGCCTGAACATCTTAGATTTTCCTATAGCACACTTACAAAGTTACCTGGCTTAACCATTGCCTTAAAAACCAACGTCTATCTGGAATATTATAGGTCTTCCTCACTTTAAGTTGCTGCTCCTCTCCTTTTGCTTTGTGACTATAGTATTACCAAACTTCCTTTAAAATGATCTAATTTTCACAAACCGATGCTTCTTTCTTGGAATTTAATTTATAAACACAATTTCTCTCCAAACAGGTGTTTTATCTGGAATAATAAGCTCATTCTGTATAAATCTAAATCTTTATTTCTTATGAATTGTTTATGTAATGATGTAGTTTTTGTTAGCCAACTGTATAACCATGAAGGACTTATGTTGACCTATACTGAATTTCTTTCTAAATATAATATTCCAGTTACTCCCGAAGACTGCTGTGGTTATTGTATGCTGTTCCCTCTGGACTAAAAATGCTTCTTAAAAATACCTGTCCAACTGCCATCTCCATACTCGGTGGATCCTGCTAAAAAATTGAAGTTGGCTGTGTCTGTTTCTCTCTTATTAAAATAATAACAGTTGTGTACGGGCTTTGTTTCAAAGGGATATTGTCTCAAGACCTTCTATTGTATCTTTTCAATAGAACTGCAAAGTGTGCCTCAATCTGTAAACATTTTCACATTTTATTTTTATTTCACATTAAACTTTTAAAGGGCACCTATTATGCCCCTTTTTACAAGATGTAATATTGGTCTTGGGTGTCCCCAGAATGTATTTGTGAAGTTTCAGCTCAAAATACCCCACAGTTCATTTATTATAACCATTTGAAAATGTCATTTTTGGGGCCTGTTTAAAATGAGCTGTTTTGGTGTATACGACCTTAAATGCAAATGAGCTGCATATCCCCGCCCTGCCTTTGGATGCGGGTGTCACTTGCAGACCTATGGCATTCTATGGTCTAAGCAGAAGCCAGAAGGGCTAAGTCTGGGGCTAAGAGAGTGAGAGACCCACAGTTTTGAATGTCATTGGGTCGGGAAGTTCGGTCTGGACTCGATCCATTGAGGAGTAATTATGATCAGGCAAAAAATGAACGGGCCAATCAAATTGCCAGGGCGGGCTTTATACGATGATGGACAGATGATCTGCAGGGACGTAATCATCAAGTTATCAAAGAGCGCTTAACTGTCTTCCCTCAGAGATGACTACAGCTGGAGAATTGAGATGTATAGATTCCTCTGCCGCATCTGTTGTGAAATAAATCGACAGCGCATTCATTTTAATAGACAAACAGAGAACTGCAATCAAGGCATTTGTCGATCGGAAAGATATTTTTGCCGTCCTTCCTACATGATTCGGGAAAAGTGTAACTTATCAGCTGGCTCTGACGGTCGTTAAGAAGATGGGACGTAATGAAAAGCCTGTGGTCGTTGTGGTTTCTCCTTTGGTGGCACTCATGGAGAAGTAAGTAAAAGAAGTAACACTCGTTATTTAACTTCTAAAATAAATAAAGTAGGCTACGTTCTGTATTTGAAAACTGCGCTATGCAAAGCATAGCGTTGACTTATGCGTTCCTCTGATTGGTTGTAGGTTCACCGACTATCCAATTGAGTGCAGAGGGGTTTTTTTTCCCTTGTTTGGTTATGACACGCCTCATAATCAAAGCCCAATGGAGGAGTTTCAGACTTATATTCTCTCTTGAATATGAGTATGACGAAGTCAGGCTAGGTACTTGTGGTAAATCAAGAAAACAAGAGACTAACCATGTTGAGCTATATGACAATGTTTAGTTTTCTTTCGAAAGAGCTAACCACATTTGCTCAGACAAAACACATAATATATTAAAGCGTCTTTATTGTTTCCATTGTTTCTACAGTAGTAAAACAGGAAATCAAGGGTAACGCGGATATGACGTAATTAACAGGCGACGCAATGACGAAGACGTTATTCTGGTTAAAATTGTTTATTTCTCTGGATTTAAACATATTATGCCAAATGTTTCCAACAATAAATACACAAGTCAACAAAATAACACTGGTTTAGTGTTTTTGATATTTTAATCCTAAAATCTTACATATTGTGCCTTTAATGATTTTTTTTCCAAACATGTAAACTGTCCCGTCTTCCATTGGTCTGTCAACAAACGTGTTGTGTTAGTCAAACAGATACTCAAACAAACAGAACAATGTTTTCACAGAGTTAGAGTTTAAAAGTCAACCTTTTTACAGCTGTCTGTGCCTATTGAAAGGGGAAAGGAAAATGTAACAACATCCTATAATTAATGTATACATCAGCTTCAAAAAAGAGTGAGACAGATTTCATTATTCTAGATTGAACATAAGCCAAACCACCAGCCTATTTTGTGATGTGGTGAGAGTTCTGTCCTGCCTATTTTGAAGGTGTTAATTAAACACTGTTTGCCTCTGGGACGTCATTGTCCACTACATTGGCCCCTCTGCCATAAATATATCAAAGGGCCCAAGGTCCCCTAGGCATCTCATCAAACAGAATGTCCTCTAAACACTTATAAATTCTACCCCCTTCACTTTACCCCCACACACACCATTTCAGATTTATAGAGGCTTCAGGTTTACAGGCAACTTGTCTTCCCACTAAATAAATGGCAGTGTTCTGCTAGGAGTGATAACCACTATGCTGATGCACAAGGAGGGGGAAGTGTTTCACTTTCTCCATCAGTCTCAGAGCGCAGCCTTAATATTACCTGCGTGCTTCCAGTCCCAGGATGAGTGCTTTTACAATTACACACATACATACGTACATACACAAGTCATTCTATTGAAGTGTAAGGCCTTGCCATAATATAAAATGGTATGACTTTACGGTCCACTATACATAGCAATAAATACAGGACATTTATTCTAAATGAGCATTTGCTCTTGCAGATGTTAGACGATATGGCGGCCTGGTTCAGTGCCCGAGATTTCATTTCTCAAGGACAAAAATGATGTAAAAGTATGGTGAAGGTGTCTGAGAATGGCACTGCAGAAGGGCCATTTCTATAAATCTCTATAACTGTAAGAGCAATATCAGATTGCTTCAGACTGTTGCATCAAAACACAGCTCGCTTTCAAAGAATAAATAGTATTTCAAAAGTCATACGCTTATAGATCGAAGGCGCATTATTCCCTTTTTCCCCTCAATTTTTCGCTTTGAATAAAGAAACTGCACTCACAACTGCTTGGTAAATAAGCAGGTATTCCATGCATTATTGGGTGACTTGCTGCTTTTATATGACATAAATATTTAAGACACAAAATTGTATCATTATTCGTCATGTAAAAATATTTTTCTAGAATAATTCCGTTAAAAGTGCTCTAGTTCCTATGTGTGTATACTATGTTTTCCTCATAGCAACTCAATAAAATATATTTTACTGACCAGTCAACATCTAGAATCCTATCCATTTTGCAATATGGTATGGAATGTACTTTATGATTCTCTCATAGCAAGAACAATTGATAGACTGGATTTTATTATAACTGCACACCTCAATATTGGTAATAGCATGAATGCCAAGTATATTGTATGCATTGCTTTCACTCTGTCTGTCTGCTTGACCAGTTTCACAATCTAAAGAGATTAAAGAATGTGCCATAAAAACTGTCTGCAGTTCAACATGGACACAAGTGCCACCTAGTGACAAGAAATAAAACATGAATCCATTGGGTTTTCAGTTAGATTCATATTTTATCATACAAAGTGTTTTTTTTTTTCATAGTACGCTACTGATTTTATATTAAAACATTTAAGTAAGACTAGATAGCGCCTGTGTGATAAAGTTAAAGTGTGGTTTCAGGTCTTTCAAACTGTCAGCTTAAATGTTCATTTTAGTATTTCATCTGAAGTTCTTTAACACACCATTTCTATTCATAGTCTAAGTGCCAGACTGTTCAACCAGACATGCTTGACATTCACAGAAACATTCAGTCTAGACTGAAAATCTGCACGTAAATGATAAAAAATCCATGGTGTTATAGTTTTGATTTCCAAACCCACATACCAAACTGAATTTAGTTAAGAAAGAGTTGAAAAAAAGAAACATTCAGTTAATATAACAGATAATCCACTGTATATTCAATGCAGGTATTTACATTGTCATTTCAAAATGATTTGCAGCTTCAGTGGAAATAGCTTCAGTGAAAAAATATCCATCTATATCACTCTTATAGAACAATTATGATTACCATCAAAATCAAAACGTTTAAGAATGTGCATTTTGTCATAGTTTGTTCAGTGCATACATACATCAACTAAAGATACCAGCTTGTAAAGCATTTGTGTGTCTGTACACATGACAGTAAGCCGAAGCTGATGGATGAGTTAAAACATTACAAAAGAGTGTACAGAGTTGCAGACAGCATTAAGTTCAGCACATAATTCAAATATTTGTCTGGAAGCACTGAGAAAGTACTTGTTATAAACTGAGATCACAAAATGTGGAAGTACAGACTTGTCTTTGCTCTCACACTGATTTCCAAGACGGGCAGAAAAGCCAACGCTTTCAGAGGAAAAACAAAGGAATGAAAAAAAAAGAATGGAGCTTTTAAGGATTTTCCTATCATTCTCCTTATAATGCAGCCAGTTCTCGTGTCAGTTGCTCCTTCTCTTTCTGGAGTTTGATGATGCTCTGTTTATTCTGTTCCAGTCGATCTTCCAGCCACTGCAGCAGCGGGCCGCTTATGGCCGACATCTGACTGCACAGGTTTTTAGTGAACACTGCAAACATACAAATTACAAAAGCACAACTCTTTCTTAAATTTATGAAAATAAGTAAGGTTAGTCCCACACCATACCCAAAAATACTTATAATTATGTTTTATAATTAATAAATTGACAAATTATCTTGCATTAAAAAAATATTTTGCATGAACAGATTGATTTTCTATACCAGTGGTTCCCAAACTCTTGACAGTGGCGTACGCCCTGAGGACCCTTCCGTGGACCCTTTCTCTATCCGCTAATGCCGAGTTCACAATTAGCCATTTCAGACCCAGACAGGTTCTGCGAAATCCCTGACAAATACATGAAATCGGAGGCAAATCGATGCTCGTTCACACGAGTGATAAACACGAGAGAATTGACAACACGCCACCTATGCCCATGAGATATGGCCAGTGGCGGTTCTACTTTGAATTACACCCAGGGCGAGACCCCCTTCGAGCGCCCCCAAAAAAAAAAAAAAACAACCCCACAAAAAAATCACATACCGTTCATTTGAAAAATACAGTTAATAGAATCCAGTTATTTTGCTAGATTAATCTTAACTTTAAAGGGAGGAAGTAACCATTAGCGCATTGGTTATTGCCTTGAATTATATGCATGGCACACTTTTAGTTATGACTTGTTAAACTATAGTTTTTTTTAGAGTTTTAGAGTTTTTAAAAGCAAAAGGGTCAGAGAGATACTTAGGCCTATTTAGTACAATACTTATCTCTTAAATAATTTTGAACAGCTCCCATATTAACAACTAGGCCTATCCAAATAGACCTAAAATAGCTTTTGTAGCCCTATGTCACTCTTAAAATGTCAGAGAAAAGGACAGAATCAGAGATTATTTAGAAAATTGTACTTTGCATATTATAGGCTAGGCTACTGTAAAAACACATAAAGTTGATCATTATGTAAATTATTTTCATTTCATGAATATAGTGACCAACATGATCACATACACAGAATCTTGTTCAAAAAGCCTAATACACAATGAAATCAATTCACCAAGTTAATAACATTAAAGATTTGTTTTAAAAGGAGTGCCTTTTATCTTACCTACTAAACTTAAAAAAGGTTAACACAAAAAAAGATTTTATAAAAATATAAACCTCATATTTCAGCATTCAATCATCTCTATAAAAAGAATGAATCAATAAAGATACATTCCTGACATTTATAATGCACAGTAGCTTATCTTTTATTATTAATAGTAAAATTCGGTCCGATTTTCCCATGGCTGTCGTTGCTACGACCATGCACTCATTACACTGCGCTCTCCACAATGACAAAGAAGTTTTAGTAGCTAATGTATTTCCACCACAGAAAAAAGCTTGCTGAAGCTCTGCTAAAAGACACAAAAGAAAGAAGTGTTTGGGTGCACGTGCACTCCCATACTGAAAAGTGTATAAGCGCGCCTTCCGCGAGCGCATAGTGAGCGCGCTTCCCTTGCGCCTAATCGCCTATCTAAAATAACGACCTCGAGCGCGCAAAAGACGCGATACGTGAACTAATCAAGAGACCCCCTTGACATCGCTTCTGTGCACAGCACCTTCTCAGCATGCAGGGCGCCATTGTCAATAATTGAATCTAAATGATAAAAAATAGAAAACCTTCGCGGCACAGAGGATTTTTTTTAACTGCTCGTGCCGCCCCCCATGTGACATGAAGAGATGCCGCCCCGGGCGACTGCCCGGTTCGCCCGTGCCTAGAACCGCTACTGGATATGGCATCCTAAATATCTGGACCTGTCTGGGATTCAAAATCCTGCTGTGTGAAATGTGTTCCGATCGAAAATTACCGGCGATGACCCAGAGCTCTCGGCGACCGTTGAAAAATGCAGCGCTCCCAGAGCTTCAGTATGAAAAAGATGCTCAGCGCCTCGTTACACATGGCGTTTTAAAAACGCGGCAGTCCTATTGAAAACAATTGGAAAAATGATTACATGTATTTAGAATGAATAAATGATGCCTTATTGGGACTTTAAAGAGAAAATGACTGTTCATATGGTGTGGAATATAGCTCTAAGGGAATGAAAAGATCCTGCAAAAATTTATATCTGAAAGTGCACCGTATATAAAGTTATTGTCTTTCAAAAGTGAGAGTCGACTCTGAGTCTATGAAATGAATTGTTTTTGAAACGAGTCATTAACTGTTACATCATGACGTAGAGAGGTCATTGGCTGCGCCCAGTTACTGCGCGTGCAGACGGAAGTGTAAACTTGAAGTCTACACATTCAAATACTTCATCATAGCATCATGTCGAGAAGACGCTGTGTTCTACAAGTAAGGGTTAATGCCCTCCGAGGTGTCCATTGTCAGGTTTTAATGGACGACGGCGAGGCGTAAACCGGCCGACGCGCAGCGGAGGACGGTTGCCTCCGCCGAAGTCCATTAAAACCTGACAATGGACACCTCGGAGGGCATTAACCCGCTTATACCATGGTCACTTGCCAAATAAAACATTAGTTTATATTTTAATTAGGCTAAATCTAGTTTTTACAAATAATAACTTGACTGACTGTTTATCTAGCAACCGGAGATATTTATAGTCCGCTTAGCTCGTAGCTATCCCTTCAGGTTCACAAATGCATTTTTTTTTCATGAAACACAAAGGTAGGCATAGTTTTTTTTTATTACACATAAAACAATTAATCAAACAACAATAAAAAAACAATTAGCTCTGAGCTCCAGCGATTTGCGCTTATAATGTTATAGAGGGCAATAAATTAATCAGATCAAAGAGAGAGTCATTTGCCTCAGGCTCCTTAGGCTTGAAACGCTGTAACGTTCAGCCTTCTCCTGCCTTGGTTGTCTGGACAGCTGCGTAAAACTCCCGCAGGGTCTCATTCAGGGGTGCGTTTCCCGAAAGCATCCAACTAGCAGCTATGGTCGCAAGTTACGTCGTTACCAATAGAGTTCAATGGAACAGCGCAGCAGCGGTGTAATTTCCTCCGTTTTATTTACATTTTTTCTTTCTTCAGCAGCATACCAGTCGTCAAAGTTGCCATATTCTCCATAAATGTTAAAAGAAATAGCACGAAGTCGCTCATTGTTGTATTAGGCTATAATATCTAACGTTAGATGATAGAGCATGTGACTGCCTGTTGCTATGGTTACTCACAGCCGTTGTAGGCAGCGCATTTATTTATTAATTTCGAATGGTAAACAGGCAGTTTCACCAGAACTACTTTACTAGGTGTCCTCTATCACTTTTTAACGGACACCCTGCAGCCAATCAGAATCGAGTATTCACCCAGACCATGGTATAATGTAAAGATAGTTCAGCCACTTTGTTTTCATTTACCAGGGACGAGCATGTGAAGAATCAGTGGTTAGAGTTCATATTTGCAACGATACCACAACAGTATAGCCCGATTGTGTTCTCATTTTACCGTTCAAAAACATGAATGAATTCAAATGTGGATTCGCAAGCGGTTGTTCCTGAAGTAACTTACTTACCCAGTGTATATGGATCAGCTTCCTCCTATGAATTACAACCTGTAAGTATTATTAATAATTGTTGCTTTTATGGGTTTTGAACAGTTTTGTAGCGTCGGGCGCGAGGAGGGAAGGCGCAATAAATATGTGTGTTTGAATGTGTGTGTGTGTAAGTTAAGCTCAGCGCAGCTTCTAGGTCTCCAATGTCATTTTTTTTTAAATATGTGAAATGTTTGTCGCTGTTATTGGAGTTGTCATAAAGAGTAGAGCGTCTTGTAGTACTGCAGTGCTTTATTAATATGTTTATGCGTTATGCTAACAAACAATAACTGACTGGGTCTGTCATCTGACCAATCACCGTCGATTAGCGTCACGCAAAGGAGTGGTTTGGAAAAATGAGTCGTTGTACGAATCATTTGGGAGTCGGTGAGCAAATCAGTTAAAAATAAATGCATATTATGAGACAAATAAAGTGTTTTTATCCTTGCATGCATGTTAAACTGTTTTTGGGAACTCCTAAAACAAAAAAAAGGACCATTTCAAATGCTATGATAGGGGCTCTTTAAAGCCTACACTTACCCCAACCCCTAAACACTTTATTATTAAACACGTGTATTTCCACTTTTCGAATATTTTCTTAATTTGCATGGAAAATTAATGCCTTTCCGATCTGATATGGGATGGGAAAAGGGAATAGAGTAAAATCGGCTTGCCAACAGGGCCTATTTACACAATTTGCATTTAGTACACTTTTTTCATCTTTATAATGCGTGCTCGCTTTTAAGGTGGGGCATAATTAAATGAATAGCTAAACCTCACATACTCCAGTTTGGGAACCACTGATCTATGCAATGTGTTTGATCTTTCATTTATCTATATATTTAACAATCTACAGCTACTTCAGACTAAAAAGATTCTATCACACATTATTTTGTGTGTAAAGACAGCATAAAAAATTAAGTGTCATAATGATGAAAAATCAGCTCTGATTTTATTTACCCAAAATAAAATAAAACCTATACTTAGCTAAAACTTTAACCCCCGGTTTCACAGACCAGGCTTAAGCCTATTTTGAGCTGTTTTAACTGAAAGAAACTTGCTCTGACAGATCTTAAAACATGTCAGTGCCATTGTTTTGTCTCAAGATGCACACCAGTAATGTTTCATGTCCGAATTAAACTTAAACCAGGCCTAATCCTGGCTTAATCAGTATTAAATTGCTGCTGTGAATTGAAAGCACTGCTAATTCCTTCATGAAATACAAAATAGATTTTATATTTGCATTACCTGATCCATTATGTATCTTTGTGATTGGATCCAGATGAGTTAAACTGAAAAAAGGGAAATTGGGAGTAAAAATACTTAAGCAACCATTTACTATGTACAATAACCTATTATATATACGTAAATTTAGCTACAAGGAAATATGTCCATGAATTTTTTTATAAATGAATCTAAGTAATCTAGAACAAGGAAATGGATAACTCTGGTAATGGCCTATACCTGTGAATCCTTCTGTACGTATCCTGTTCTTCTTGACAGAGGATTCTGGGCAGTTCCACGGCAGACTCCAGACATACTTTTCCAATGGCTTCATGTGGGACTACATGGATTGGGATCTCAATCCGCTCATACCTTGTCGTAAGAGAGGAAAGTTATTTATATATTTATGATCAAAAACGCAGCACAACAAACTTTTTCTTGCATAAGGCAATAGCCATGACTTGGCTTTACCATGTTTGTGAACCTGTTAAACAATTATTCAAACATTTAGAGTTATATTAATACAAGCAACTAGTCAGGTGTGGACTAGTTTTGATTTATAGAAACTTAAGCTAACAATGTGAAGATTTATGTTTAAATTCCTTAAACTAGTTTAAAATATGCATGATGCATATGTAAAACATATTATTAATTCAGAAATGCATTTTTTTAAATAAAAAGCAGTTTATTTACTCTGAGCCTTTCTGGGCCTGTACTGATTGGAAACAGGTGTACAGAACTCTACCGGTCTGCAAGAGAAAAAGAGCAGTCAAGGTAAAAAAAAAAAAAAAAAAAGAAGAATTTTATTGTTTCCTGTGGAGGTATGGTTTGCTTACCTTTGTGTTTTTATCTTCTATAAAGCATGAGAAGATGAGTCCAACAAAACCCTGATCCATCATCTGATACATTGCTTGAGTCCTAACATCTGTAATAATGCAAAGATCAAGTAAAATTAAAATAAATAAAGGGAATATAATAATGCATAATTACATTTACATTTATTCATTTAGCTGACGCTTTTATCCAAAGCGACTTACAATTGCTATATACGTCAGAGGTCGCACGCCTCAGGAGCAACTAGGGGTTAAGTGTCTTGCTCAGGGACACATTGGTGTCTCACAATGGATTCGAACCCGGGTCTCTCACACCAAAGGCATGTGCCTTATCCACTGCGCCATCATCACCCAATTACATGCATTAATAAATAAAAACATTGTATACTTAAAAAAAAAAAAACACTAAATATATATAAAAGCTGATACTAACCAACATGTGATGGCCACACAGTGATGTGTGGATGAGAGTGGTACCAGCCCACAACCCTCATGGGACGTCCTGTCATCTCAGCCAACCTGTGCTTCATTTTAAGGAAATATGCTTGAACAGTATCTGGTCAGGAGGTTTACACTTTGTTATAAATTTCATTGAGAAGTTATGTTTTAAACAGTCTCAGACATTTTAAACCCACACTATGAAAATTTATAACTATGGAATGTGAATTAACTAATAACTGGTTTAACTATCTTATATTATAGTAATGTTTGTCAGTAACTCATTAACTAAAGCTATAGAGTGGTGCAGGGATGACGCCTGAACCTGGAAGACTAATTTACCACTGGTTCCTTCCAAATTTTTCTAAACGGTTTTATAATGTTTTTTTCAATTTATGTCTAAAATAAAGCTTGTGGTAAATATAACTTGACGATACTTAAGACGTTTTGTTCTATAATCTAAATTGCACACACTCACACCCCAAAAATCTAAAAAATTATTAGAAACAAATGTTTTCAAAAATAAACACAACTGCTTCAAAATGTATGTTTTCAGTATGGTGGTGTTATTTATTTACATTGTAGAACAAACCATCAAAGTATCGACAAGTTATGACACAAGCTTTATTTTACTCATAAATTGAAAACCAGTGCATTCTGATACTTTATGACAAAGACACTACATTAGAGATTGTGTGTAGCAATGGAGGTAGAAGTTAAAACTAATACTATACAGTTAAAAACACTTTAGAATGGTGAACGCTAGCTGTTATGAACTGTCACAGCCGCCATCACGACGTGCGTGGTGAAGCAAACGCAATGAAAATATACAACTTAACCAAAATGTGGCTTTATAATTTGCATTTATATATTTTTATCAACACATATTTCTGAACTGTTTTAATGTGAAAGTGCTCGCACCATAAATAATGTATGAAAACACGTCGTGGTTCGTTGCGATCACTCTCCATGTTTGTACAGTAGCGCTCCTTTGCTTATTTTTAAGTCCAGTTAAAAAATGTAGTAGGCTAACGCTTTCACAATAAATCATTTCAGAGCTGCATTAGCTACAGAGGGCAATACTGTTGTTAAGAAATTATTATATATATTGATTGAATAAATGATCCACTGGCTGAGACCAAGCTATATTTCATTTATTATTTTATCTAGCAGATAAATCAGTGCCACTTTTTAGTCATTAAAAGATAAACTGCAAAAGAGAAAACAATTTGGTCTTGGGTGTGGTCTGATAGAAGACGGCCAGGTGAGTTCTATGAGTGTATGGAATGTGATGAAATATGTGCAGAGTCTTGGCCGCACAATTGAGCGCTCGAAGGTACTTTCGAATATTAGGCCATTTATTCTAAGTTAGTGCAACCAGGTTTTTTTGTTAGTACAATGTTTGTATTGCAGAATACAAAAATTAAAGTATTAACATAAATAAGTATTATCGTACATTTTTCTATCGTGATTTGTATTTGTTATTGTACGCCCCTAAGTGTATCCAAAAACATGGCAGCGACTACCTAGAACGCAATGTGCGTTCTAGGAAGTCTATGTAGTTAACCCTATAGAAAAACCTTGAAGGAACCGGCGGCGAATTAGTCTTCCGTGTTTTGACGTCATCCATGCACCACTCTATTGTGACTGTCAAGGCTGATTCACACCAGGAACGATAACTATAACGATAACTAGCGTTTACACCAGCATACAGTTAGTTCTGTCATCGGCCGCATTAAATGCTCAAGCTCTTTACAGTTTGGAGGATTTTGCTGTCATTGGTTTTATTATTCATCAGCTCGAATGAATCATTCTGAAAGTGATTCCAACGATATCGTTTCTCTGTGCCGTTATCTTTATAGTTGTGGTGGTATTGATTTTTAGAACTATTTCTTTATTGTTTATATTTATAGTTATCCTAATTTGTGTGCACAGGCCTTCACTCAGTACAGTATACAGACATCTCCTTGAAAAAAGTTTTTATTATATATATATGTATATATATATATATATATATATACACAGGGGTTAAAGTGGGCCGGAACGGTCCGGTACTGCATTCCGGCACCTCAGATAAATTAATAAATAAATAGATTCATTAATCTCAATCTCGCTTCTCCCGATATGGACCAAGTTCCCTTCCTCCCAGCTGAACGCGAGCGATTACAAATACTTGAAATGACTTCTCTCACCTTTTTAATCAACCCACGAATATTAATACATTTTAGTTGTCTGAACTTGTTTTTGTCATCATTGTTATTGCTATCTTTACTGTTACTGTTATTATTACTATTTTCATTTGTACTTTTTCATTGTTGTAATTGCTATTGTTGCTGTCTTTTGCTTTCATCATTGCGATCACCACTGCCATCATCATTATCATTTATTATTAATATCAATATTATTATTATTACTATTAGAATCATCAATATTAGCGTTGTCAATGCTGTATTGGAATTAAGTGTCACTATCATCACTACTGCAATAATTTCCCCCCACTTATCTTTTCATGAGGTTTTTTAATGCACCACAACATAGAACAGGAGAAAAAAAAAAGGAAATATGTATTTATGGAAAACCTCACAAACACCAGGGCAGGCAAGACAGGCGAGAAGTGGTTTCAGCAGGAGAAAGGATAAAAATTGACTAATACAATATTGGCAATATGGTGGTAGTGGGGAGTGGGGGTGGTGATGGTAATGACAATGGTAAGAAATAATAAATGGTTACTTTGTTTACGCATACACACACATACCCACACTCACACCCACTCACATACACACTTAGATCAAACACTTAAATCACTCCGTCACTTCTGGAATTATGGAATTACAAGATTGCTCACTACTGCACTATGTTTGTTTGTATTGTATGTCTGACTGTTTAATAAAAAAAAAAATTAAAAAAATGCTTGAAATGCACTCATGGTGGTTGAGCACGGTAGTTTAGTTAGTTTTAGGTTCAAAATACTTCGCCTGACATATGTTTTCCCTTGCCACTTTTCTAAAGGGTCTTACAAAGAGATCAATAGCAGGTTTAGTTTTAACATTATGTAACCATTGTATATCGACATTAATTTTCGTTCAAAATCACCTACGTGCATTAAAGCTGCATATTTATACCTGAGAATGCTTTGATGCGTTTGCACAGAGCATGATGAGGGAACGTCTGCCAATTCCACCAAACTGCGTTAAACATAGCATATTATTTAAAATTACTTTTCAGATTCCAAAGTTTGTAGAAGTTGGCAATACTGACCTGGTAGCCTTAAGTAAATTAACTTGTTTAAGATAATGATTCATTAAACATATAATTATCAGTTAAGCCTATTTACTTCACTGACACAGACGAAAATGAAAGGCTATCAGTCAAAGTTCAGGGGGTTAGGAGTTTAGGAGGGGAAGAAATATGGCAGGATAAGGAGACTGAGAAAAAGAAAGATGTAGATGAGGAGAGAGCAGGTATTGACAACATAATCTAATGCCCACTGACATGGTTTTAAAGCTATTTATTATCCTTTTTTTGGGGCCTTCAAAAGTCTTAAATTGCACATAATTTAGTCAGAGAAATCAAAATTTTCTTGGGGGAGCCGTGGGGCTGTGGATGGTAATGTGGGCTGGCGTGGCTTCAGTGCCAGGGCTCAATTTTTGTCCCATGTTAAGCAATTTTAACATAGTATTGTCATTATATCAGTGTAGATGGGCCAAAATAAAACCATTAAAATATCAAGTAAATACTTGATAGGCTCCTTGGAGTGATAGGCTCATTTACAAAGATAAAAAATAGCCCTATATATCCACCAAAAAAATCTCCTTACACAGATATATAAACTATAAAGTATATATCGTTTGTGAAAGGATATCTCCGCTTCAGTGGATGCTGCTGAAAGCTGCTCTGGGGAAATCTCCACTCTGTCTTTCCTCTTGTCCGATCGACGCAGAATGATGACAGAATGAATGTGCACAATGCGGTTTGTGTCCACCTGATGGAGATAAGTCGTTTACACAGTTAGTCTGCAAAGTTTCATAAACACACCTGCAATTCAATCACATTTATTCAAAACAATACATATTCAAACCTCGCCAATGCAGAGCCCCATTACTTCCTCCTTCTCCGTACTCAGAGCATGATTCATACATACTAGAAATGCATCTGACTCTAAATGTACCGCGTTTACTGCCATGATAAATATTACAAACTAATTGTTAATCGTTTGGTCTGATTTATTTGTTTGTTTATCACTGTCCAACACTTCCACACCAGTAAAGCGCATGCGCTACATTCAACTCCTCCTCCTCCTCCTTCTTCTTCTTCTCTTTCTATGGCGGTTGGCAACCAGCTTTTTGGTGCATTACCGCCACCATCTGGACTGGAGTGTGGATCAATGGGTCAAACTCATACTCTGCAACCTGGTCTGACTACACTTTTTAAATTCTTTTTATTAACCCAGTTATCTTTAAAAAAAAGAAAACAAAAAATAAAAACCAATTTCACCAGACCCTCTTTGCATTATTTCCTGTAAGTTTAGGGTAATCCCATTCTCACCTAATTGTGATATCAATTTTTGCCTAGCTTGATGGTATTTATTCATGATTACATGTTCTACTGTCTCTTGACTATTGCAGTAATCACATTTTCCATCAACATGCTTATTCATTATAAATAACGTTCTATTTAACCCTGTATGTCCTAATTGTAATGACCGCAAATAATTGTTAAATTTGTTTTTTTTTTTTGTTTATTGTACATAATGTGTACTAATATAATGTTAACAGTATAAATGTAGAAAGCCTCAGAAAATATGTATACTGTTGGGGGCGCTGTGGGTTGAGAAGACCGGTTCGAAAAAGAGAGAGAAGAAGTGTAAAGAAAGGGCAGTTCACGCATGTTGTTGTTCATGTAAAAATTGAGCTCAAAAATCTGTCACAGAAACAAAAGAGAAAACAACCGGAGCAAATAAATGTACAGAAAAGAACTGATTGTCGTCGTTATTGTCCAAGGGGGCAACATAATCTCATTCTAGACACCACATCTTCTTCCTTTATTGTTCATATTTGATACAGTCAAGAATCGCATGAGGTATAGCCTATTGTTTCTTCAGCATGACATTATTCACACCCATTTGGATGTTTCCCTATCATTCAACTCCTTATTTTTGTAAAATGCAATAAAATCAAGAATTTGTTCATTCTCTTTAACCTTTATTTAACTGACAAAAGTAGCCTATAAAGAAATAGTTTGTAAACATAAACAAATTTTGATGGAGGCATATACCACTGTGTCCCATCACCTTTCCTTTTAATTTAACTTTTTAAATGTTTGGGAATTATATTAGAAATATGAATTGTTGAAGATTCCTGTGTGTCATTTTTGCCTATTCTCTCCATTTTTGCCTATTCTCTCCTGATATTATGCTCAGCAGTCTGTCGTCCTTGTCTGATTCTCCTTTTCATGGGTCATACATTTTCAATCGGAGACAAATCTTTTTTTATTATTATTATTATTATTGACAAGAAGTAACATACAAAACTCTCGCAGGGGATAGAATGTACAAATATTGGCGATATACAAAAAGTATTAACCAAGCAGAAAACAACAAACAGAGAAAAATACTAGGGGCTAGTAGCTACTACAAAATACACAAGTCAAAGGCAAAATAAAAAATCACATTTGGAGCGGCACACACAAGGGAGATTAATCAAAACAGTAATTTCCTGGATATATCACTATACATTTTCCTTGCGATTTTAGTAGATTTTAAATTTTTCAGTAAGGTAAAAAAACAATTTAAAATCATTTATAAACCAAACAAAGGAAGGCTTAGAACATCTCCACTTACTGCAATGAATATGATATTTACCCATAAGAATCTTTCTGAATCCTGTGCATTCTGTAACAATCGTCATCTGTCATTCCACGTTACATGAAAATACCAAGCATTATTCTCTTGGTTAGACAAGTATGTCCAGTTTCCCCTTACCTGTTCAACACTAAGCAACACAGTTCCTTAGCACATGCATATCAACAGTAGTCCTTTAAAGGGTATCACAATTGACAACACTAAAATAAAAATGAGTCAGTTAGCTTACAATCCAGCTTTATTTTTAAATGATTTGTCACAAATTCCAGTGGCTTTTGAGTATTCTTCAGTCCTTTTCAGAAGCCTCTGAAAATTGTAATAAATGTGAATTGCTACCAATCAAAAACTGCTCTCTTTCTTCAATTGATATGTTAAAAATCGGGTAACAATCCTCCTCATACTGCATCCTTTCCTAAACCTTGTGATCATAGCTTGTGATACTATTGTGTAGTCAAAAGCTAAAAACTACTGAATAAGATTTTTATTTCTTACGAATTTGATTTTTGTTCCACCTGTAATTTCCTTTTGGAATAATTTTTTGTTAACCTTAAATTTAAAAAAAAAAAAATCTGGTCTTCACAGCAGAAATTCTTTCTCACAAATAAAGTGAAATAAATTACCCTACCGAACATGCTCTTTTTATTTACATTCTGTTCAGTGGTTCACTTATTTTGGTCATGTCACTTCACTCAGATGCTTTGGAGTGATATTGGTGTATTTGTCAAGTGTGAGATTTTGGCAGACATTTCGATATTAATAACATTATATTAAAATTTAATTTAATTTAAAAACATTAATTTTTTATAAAAATCATACGCAAATGATCTAACTGTAAACCAGTCTTCTCTCTAAAGAAATGGAAAATTATTTAAATGCTATTTCAGTATATTCTAAGGACTAGGATTTGCTCTGCCATTGATCTCTTCGTGTCAATATAAAAATATGTATTGTACGTCGTAGACTACATATTGTACGTAAAATGTGACGTATTGGCACCCTCTCTCATTTATTTATTTTTCACCTTTTTTTTCTTTTCCTTTTTGCTGTTGTCTTGTCTCCGTTATTGTTGTTGTGGGTGTGTGCATTATTTTTTTGTATGTTCGGTCAAACTGACGGATAATGATCATTTGTAGTGCAACTTTATGATTTGAAATTAATTTGAGCCTTTCTCTGGTGGAACTTCCCCATACCGGAAGTGCCACCGCGGACTCTTGTTTTCCAACCGGAAGAAATACATTTGCTAGTCAGCACAGCAGGTCAGCAGCATGGTCAGCAGGGCGTCAGTTACGTCACTCTTCATGTGTTTTACTGTCTATGGTGTTTACTAGTGTTTTGACGAATTTAACTGGAATTATTCCTCAAAACTGTAGCTTGGTTGTTCATATCCTAAAATAAGATGTCACAGAAAGATCCTTGTCAAAAACAGGCTTGTGCCATACAGAAATGTTTACAAGGTAGCAATGTTAATAACCTTGCTATGCATGAATATCGCATGCTGTTGATTTAAAGCATTTAACCATTTTGTGACTTGTATTTTTAACAGCCAACAAATACATTGAAAAGCGTTGTGAGGATGTGATTCGAGACATGAGGAAGTGTTGCGAAGTCCATGAAAACTCTGTCTGCTGTTCTGGATTTGCCAAGGAACACAAATCAAAAGACACAAAGACATTAATTCAATAGAAGGATATTAAATGTGTGTATATGTTCTGCAAGAGATCAATGTAGACTTTTCAAGGACATGTGAAATACATATTTATCAGACTTTGTAATTGTGTGGATTTAACAGTCATTCTTCTCCTGTCTCTAATAGATTACACATTTAAACTCTCATTTAATCAATGAGCTGCCTTATTTGGCTATAACTATTTATTCAACCTAGTAGTTTAGTTTAGAGAGAATGTTGATTATTCATTTAACATATAGTGTCCATCAGAGTAAATTTCTTTTTTATGTATAGCTCATTTCATATTTTATTTAAGTGACACTGAACACCAGTTGGTCAAGTTAAGATTTCCAAAAGTTTGAAAATACAGCAGGGATACTCATTCACAAAATCAAAAAGAAAATGGAACATCATAATCATGATGTGGTAAGCATTAGCTGTAATTTGGCAAAAATAGAGATGGATTTCATAAAAAACAACAATAAAAAGAAAAGAAAAAAAGGCAAACCAGCATTGTTTAAAACCTGATTGTCAATTTACATTTAACATTTCTGCCATTATCAGTTAAAATTGCAAGTTTTATTGACCCTTGGTCTTTTAAATAATGTCCCGATTTATTACAAAAATAGCTCAAGTTTGTACAGTTAAATGCTCTTAACTCAGTAACCATATTTCTGAAAGTTTAGAAATGGGTCTCAACTGGGGCAATTTCAAATGTTGCAACTATTTACATAAACTGAATTTAAGTCATTTTCAGAAATTGATTGTTCCAAAATAATATAGAAAAAAATCTAATAAATAAATTTAACAGGTGTTAAGTACAAACTAAAAAAAAAAACAGTGTACATTCAAAAACTGAAACCATACATTCTAGCAAGCTTAACTGTTTTCTTATGAACACATAACCTTCGATAGAGAACTAATAAGCACTGAGATAAATACAAGCTGTGAATTAAATAAAAGCTGCAATATCAGACAAAAGCTGTAATCTGCTGTATACATAGTTAGAAGACATCCTCAGAGTATAAGATATCAATGAGAGAGCTCTTATGAAGCCAGGCCAATCAGAAATCCTCCAGCAAAGCCCCCAGTGAGAACGATGTTCTTCTTGACAAACACCTGCACCTAAATGGAAAGAGAAAATTGGACGTAATTCAACTCAAAGGCTGTAAATGAATGACATTAAGCATTAAAGTCCCTGTAAAGGTAATTCAACAAAAAAAATTCTCAACACATTATAAATGTTACAAATGTATTGCTAAAACATATTACAAAGACTGTGAACTGTGAAGTTCTGAAATACGGAGTTAGACCGTTAAACAGTTTTTCACCAGCGGGGCTAAAACAGGGCTCGATGACACACTGGAGCCCAAGAGCTTGTGGACACACCCCAACTTGATGATGCATGTTGGCTGATCCATAGACAGGGGCTGATCTCTCCCCTAACAATAGACCACATTTGCATTCGCCGCTCAATCGCGAGTTACTGTCAGTACTGTACTATAGAGTGCCGAAGTGATGACGTCACTTTGTAGGACAACCCGGAAGCTAGCGGCGCATGGGTTCCCTCGGTCGAAAAGCAATGCATTTTCCCCATAGACTTTTGGAAAAATCGCAAAAAATAAGATCTGTGTTTAACAAAGGGTTGTGACCCTTACACGTTTTGTCTAGCAAGATAATCTTTACAAGTTAATCCAAAATTTATACATTTTGAAGCCTATATAAAGATTTTAAAAAACACAATCAGACACAATAAAGTTTTTTAAAAAAACACAAGCTGGTTATAACTGTGTGTTCTATGCCATAGATCAAAACGTGAAAATATTTAGATAATAATAATATCTTATTTCAGGCGATTTAGCAAAAACCCATTCAAAAATCCCATAGGCTTTAGAGCGAGGGAACCGTAATGCTAAAATGCTAACTCACTTCCGCGTTTTGGCCTACAGAGTGACCTCGTAACTTCGGCACTCTATTAGTTACTACAGTCTACAGTTTACTAGCTTGCTATGCCTTTGACAAGGAAATCCATAGGCTACTACCTGGATGCGATCATGTACAAAACAGATCGGTGTCTTTATTTAAATTTCCTAAAAGGCGATCACATCACATCAGGTGGATTAATTTTGTGTAGAGCCAACCTTGATGAAGAGCAGAGCTGAGGATCACCGACAGCAACACCCACCTCTGTAGTGATCATTTTACACAGGATCGTTTTATAAACTTTCCTCAGAGACAACTGGCATTCACTGATAATCCGATGCTGCTGGTGAACGGGGCCGAAACGATTATCTTCCGCCTCAGCGTTCATCCTTCCGTTCCGAGAGCAGTTTCGCCTAATATCACCATCGACAGCTTTCCCGCGAGTGGGTGTGGTTTCAGCGCAGCCAGCAGACACGCCCACAGCGTTTGAGAAGAGAGATAACTGCTGATTTTTTCAAGATTTTGATAGCTTATTTTACGTACTTGCCAGCTTTTTTATCATTCGAATTTGGCTGGGTGGCTAATATCACATTTTTCTGTGGTATGACAGACTCAGAACACATACTTAATTTTGACTTTACAGGGACTTTAAGGGATGGTCACACATTACACTTTTCGTTCCACCGACTTCCATTGTTTTTATGCATGTGAATGTGGGACAGAAAACACAAGCTAAAGTTTGGTAAACTCTGACCTGCGAATTCGTATCACATGAAGAAGTGTGACTAAAAGGAGATCGATACTTCATGGCGTGACTTCTTAGCTGAATTAAAAAAAAAAAAAAAAACAGCAAACCTTAAAGCTGCCGGTTTGTAGTTTTCCAGTAAAATTGAATACAGTGGGCAGCACAAATATTGCCATCTTTGGTAAAAATGAGCAAAACTAACTGAAAATTAGTCTTTCATTTAAAATATTCACAAAAATCTAACCTTTAATTGAATATACATTTTAATGTGGAATTAAAAAAAAAAGGTTTTCCCTAAAATGTGTGCCAAAATTATTGGCGTCCCTACAAATTATAATGAGTAGAAATCTAACTGAAGAATATTCCTATTCATGTGGTATATTTTTAAGTTCACCTCAGTGATCAGCAACACTTAAAGGTGGGGTATGTCATTTTCTTTTTTGGCCATTTTTTTTTTTTCAAAATCGCTTGAAATCCTATTCCCAACCCAATTACAGCCACTGAGTTAGAAGCGGTGAAATGAAAATTAAGCAATTTAATCATCTGTTGAACGGGTGTGTGTGGTGTGTTTTAAGAACTGGACTATGTCAAAAAAGAAATCAAAGATTAAAATAAAATATTTGTAGAAGACCCATTTAAACTTGTTTTAATCATTCCGTTTGGGTGAAAGTATGGTTATGATTATAAAAAATAGTGCACGCGGACAGATGATGATGTACACCTGTACAGCAATAGATGATACGAGGCTGATCGTGGAGGCCGAGAAGCACAAAGTGCTTTATGAGCCAAAAAATAGGTACTACAAGAACATATCTTCTAAGCAACATAGTTCCTTACAAATTTACACATTTTCTGCAAGTAAATGCAGGCATTTAATGACTAAAAACCGAAAAGTTGTTGAAAATGTTTAAAGAACATTGTTTAAATTGTTTTTCTGTCGGTTTGGAGCTGCTGCTGTGACACTGCACAAACGTTTCCAGTGTGAATACACTCTTAGAAAAAATGGTTCTATATAGACCATTTCACAAGATGTAAACAACACTGGTCCGGTCACTTCCTGTTTCAGTTTTTTAACACTACATAAAAGCTGGGATAAAATACAACCAACAGAACATTTAAAACTCAATCAAAAAGTTAAACAAAGATCTTTAAGATGTTTTCTTTACATGTGAAATAAAGAAAACAGTTACAAACTGAAACAGGAAGTACTTCTGGACCAGTGTTGTTTACATCTTGTGAAATGGTCTATATGTAGCATAGGGTTCTTTACTCATCTCCAAAGGACATTTATGCTAAAAAGAGGTTCAATAATGACAAGAAAGAACACTTTTGGCTCAAAGGTTCTTTAAAGGCTATTATTCATTCATATATTACAATATTCTGCAACATTTTGTAGTTGTCATTAAATTATTGTTTATTAAACTGTTGTAGTAACTTAATATCACATTTTAATCATGCAGATTTTTGGAGGATAAAAACTGAAATGGCACTCTTCGTCTGATATTGATTAATTACATTTTTTAACCCCCATATCTTGAATTTTGTGATCATTCACATGCAAAGCATTTTAGGGGTTCCAAATATGTAGCGCTTTAGAACCTTTTAAGGTTCTATTTAGAACCTTTTCTTCTAAGAGTGTACTCTTGCGCGTCTGCAGCTGCAGTGACGATGTAGTTGTGCTGTTCACGTGCAATGGCCGTTAAGTGCAATCTCGCGCATCTGAGTTTTGCAGATGCATGATTGCACGTCCATATTCTTTGAAGTGAGGTGGAGTCAGGGCCAGCGTTGGAGGAAAGAAGGTAGGACCTTTTGAGTTGTGTATTTTCAAAATCTGCTGGCCGTTTTGCAAATCCCATACCCAACCTTTGAGTGATAAGTCTTGACTTCCTGTTTAACTGGGCTCTAAATATGTAGTGACACGGGCCAAATTCCTAAAGTCATCCATCACTATGGGAAAAACCTGAGAATACAGTAATGATGTGTGACAAAAGATTGTTTAGCTGCTCAAATCAAAAATGGCTATGAGACATGTTGGAAGAATAATTTCCACTATCTGGGCAATAATTAAGTAGTTTAAATCAACTGGAGATGGTAACAATCTACCTGGAAGTAGGGATGCAAGATATTTAAAAAACATGCAATATGCCATAACTCATTAAATAATGCAATATGTGATATGATAATTCTTTAATTGTGTAAAATAAATAAATCATATTGTAATATTTTTAAAAACTGAAAATGATAACCAACATAGCCCACATGTTTCACATCCTTTTTGTGAGAAGAAAACATCCCTAGAACAAAGTCAACAGCAGTGTTTTACCGTAGCATTACATAAAACGTAAGCGTTATTTTAACGTCAGGGTTAAAATTCAGGGTTCAGGGTTTCAGGTAGGCCTACATTCGGTTTATTTAACAACAGAAATGTATCAAATGTCAAAATAAAACACTGCTTAGTCTTCACTGTATGATTTAAACAAATACACATTCTTATTAAATCTACAAAAGTTACTCAGTAAAGAGCATTGAGTGATTTTCTATTTGTCTTTTGCTGTTTGATTAAAGGGATACTCCACTTTTTTTGGAAATAGACTCATTTTACCACTCCCCCAGACTTAAACAGTTGGGTGTTACCGTTTTCGAATGTATTCAGACTATCAGAATATCAGTAACCAGACAGTTTCTGGTCTCAATGACTTCCACAGTATATTTTTTTCCACTATGGAAGTCAATGAGACCAGAAACTGTCTGGTTACTGATTTGCTTCTAAATATCAGAAAATAGTCAGAATGCATTTGAAAATGGTGAAACTCAACTGTTTAACTCTGGGCGAGTGGTAAAATGAGCCTATTTCCAAAAAAAGTGGAGTATCCCTTTAACATTAAGCACACAGACGGAATTTAGGTTTACAAGGCTGCTGTCACTTTAAGAGCTGCACAGAACCAATACATTGTTACATGTGTGCTTTCCTTCTCAACTGTTAACTGTTACTCTACTTAAGAGGTAACGAACCGTGTTATGTGAATACTCACCAAGATGGGCATTTTGACTTAATTGGTGTGTATTTGGCCACATAACTTTCCGAAAAGAATCGAATTGTCCGAGAGGCAGCTTTCTGTGCACGAGAACTTGGCTTATTGCATTTAAAGTATTAAGCATGTCACATGTATGTAACAGTGTCCAGTCTACTCTCTGCTGTCTGTGTCGACCTAAAACTTGGGACTTTTTGTAATCTAATATATGTGTATACGAATAAATGTAAGTGTAATTTTCTTAAGTGATTAAACATCTTGTTGTCAAAGTTAGTATTGTTGCTATTTGTTTGGTCAGACACTTGCATGTGTCAACATATTATTATGTTATAAATATACATATATTTGGCAAAAAGCTTGTGTTATAAAAAGTTTTTTTACACACAGGCTGTATTGGCTATGACTAGACTGCAAATACCAGGTTAAGACACTCTTCACTGTTTTATGTATTTGAGGAGCCTTTACACACATTGGGTCTCATTCATGTAACACGAGCAGAACGATCACGAGCAGAACGAATTTTTGTGTAAATCGTGTGTAAAGTGGTTCTGGCGTAAATTTTCGGATTCATTAAAATTCGTATCGTATTTTCCAAATGTTAGTTGGTACCATAGACTGTAAAAAAATATGGACGTAGTGTCCGTGACGTCACCCATAGGTTTCTGAAGAGCGTTTTTGAAGACTAAAGTGGGCGGGGCCGGCCGTCGCCACCTTGGCAGTGCATCACCTCTCGTCACTACCGGATAAATTAAAATGGGCAAAGAGGCGGGACGCGGGTGGAGCTGAGGTGCTAATGCTATGCTACTGCCGCTGAATTGACAGCTGATAGAAAAAGTAAAGCCAATGGTTAAAGTTCATGTTTTGCCCTTCGAAATATTATAATAGTTAAGACGTAACTAAAAGTGAGACTATTTACTTTACTTTTTTTATCAACTTTATTAATCTCACAAGGGGCAATTAGTTAAGAGTATACAAGTACATTAACACAGATCACACACATTTCTCACAACATACAAGCAGTCAACTATGTGCATCATGATGCATTATTATTCTGCTAGTTAAAAATGTATTAATTACTTACAATATTGCTCTAAGCTTGTGCATGTGACAGTGATTCAAGGCAAGCTCTCAAGTTCGTAAAGAGCTTTAATTCAGTCCATTTTACAATCCGATTTTGGCCGCCTCTCAGTTTCTCAGATGGGTCAAACCAAAGATATTACCTCAGAACTTCAAGTAAATGAACTAGAAATCCGGGCTCATTCACGGGTGTGCATCTATTGCATGGACGGAGAAAAAGCACTGATATCATCAGACATCCATTAGTGCATGCGAGGGAAACAGCTGGAAACACGGCGCTGGTTGTTCTCTCCATACTCAACACGACGGAATCCAACGGCGTGCACGGGCGAAGGTATAATACATGTATTAAATTGTATGAAATAATCCCGGAAAAGCACAAACACAGCTGAGGGTGACGCTAACAGACAGCAGACAAACGAGCAGTGAAAGCGGCTGCAAGAATCCACCTGTCACTCAAGTGGCCACGCCCTTAATTATGCAGAACTTTAAGGCTTAAATATAATTTAAACAGATGAGTTGTAAAAAAATTCACCCCCCTCACAGTTGTCATGAAGGGAAAAATGAGCTCTATAGACCAAAGCCACTTTTTGCTCCAGGCTGTAAACATGTTTTTTTCTGCTGTAAAGTTGGGCATTTTAACATGGGGGAGATACAGATTTGACTCGCTTCTGCAGCCTGCCTCAAGCGGCCACTCGATAAATTGCAGTTTAATTCACTTCCGTGTTGGCTTCAAGAGAGAGACGGGGAGGTTGCCGCTTGGTTGGTACGCAAGAAATCTACACCTGCTCCCAGCCACGCGTAAATGGTGCGTTTAACATCTGAACGTTTTGCTCATTAATAAGGCTGCATTTTAATTCACCTTAATCAGGTTTTTCTTTTTACTTTTATTATGAGAGTCAGTAGCAGATCTGGTGATCGATGGCGGTCCTTCTCCAGTTTGAGTACGATTTTTCCGAAGTGAACTAATTAATTTTTTTGCTGTCAAGCTTTATGTCGAACCATTTTCTTCTTACTTCTGGGACTGTTCGATTAACAGATGAAACTCCATTAACTGCATCTGTAATATGCTGCCAAACTTCCTTCTTTAGGACCTGATACGCCACTATGTATGCTTGAAAACTTCTGATAATAAAACTTCAATTTCTGCATCCGAGAAATCTTTATTTTTCATTCGCATTCATGTTATTATATGCCAATATATAGATGTCAGTCGGATATAATGGGCCTGATTTATGGTAATTGAGAGTGAACGTGCACGCGCATCCCATTTACGACTGGTTGGAATTCATTAACACACACACACATTTCACTATCACATCTGACGTTTACGAAGTATCTGTGAATCAGGAGAAGAGTTTTCGGGAAGGTCTCTTTACGCGCAAATCACTCTCATATTTACTCGTATATTTACGAATGTTTCATGAATGAGACCCACTGTGTTTTGAATAAAGAAACCGCTGTACTTTGAATTTGTTTAAAGAAAATGCTATTTTATGACAATTTTGCTATTGTTGTCATGCCAATTAAACATATTACTGACAAATTCTCATTGCTGCAGTTGTGGCAACTGTGATAAAAAAAATATATATATATATATATATAAAATAAAATAAAAAATATTTTATTTAAAATATAGTATTTTCTTACCTCATTAAATTTTGTTCTCATTTCTTCAGGGGGCTTGTCTGAATTTAGCTTCAATTGCTTCTTGGCCATATTCACATCATGCTCAACTCTTTTCCAGTCTACTTTAATGTAGCCTGTGTGATGAGCAATCTGAAAGTACAATTGAAGATTATACAGTGCTTAAACAGTCAAAACAACAATTATGATCAGCACTTCTTTTTTATGATTTACCTGGAGCAAAAAGAAGCCACCACCTACAGCTGATGCTGCAAGCTTCCCAACTTTCTGAAACAAGTACCCTGCACACCTGAAAGACACACAGGAGCCCATGGTTTATGTTGTACTCAGTGCTTTAATGCACATCACTGCTCATATAATGACTTACCAGCCAGTCACTCCTCCGATGGCCAACTGTGTTGCAACAGAGTACTTCTCAGCGGCCGGTCCAGATTGATTCTTGCCAAACATTTTGTTCCACCATCTTTGTTTCTTCACATGCTCTGCCAGTTCCATGACATCAAAGGTTTCAGTGTCTGTCAGAAAACAGTGTATGTGCATTCAGCATACTTAAATCTGCTTGCAAACCACATGATACATATCCCAGAAAAAGCTCTTTCATCATAGTGGTCCCCACATTGAGACGACTGTTTAACAGATATTTTTCTAATGTTTCAAAGACATGATAAACACACCACAATTCACTTTTGTTAAAATATTTTATCTTAAAAAATAGCAGTAAAAGATTACATACAACTACTTGGAAGGTTTTCCTTTTAAGAATATTATTTAATTTTATGACACTTTATATGATGATCAGTTGGATCATACTGACATTTTTTATGCCCCAGTTAAAATATCAAATATATCAAAATTCCTTTCCAAATTGAAATGAAAAATATCTCTGCTATGTACATCCTTGTGTCATACACAGAAGAGCACAGAGATCAACTTTCAATACACAAAGGCTACTTTCATTTTCTATTCGGGGCAGAAACTGACTAATAAAGGTCGAGGACAAGGTCGAGGAGAAAGGCAGTTAGAAAACCCTGAAAAACTCAACCATATTAAATGCACTGCTTTTGTTCTCCATCCAGGTGGGATAATCATAGACAGTTTAAAAAAAAAAAGGACTTTGGATAAAGGAGCAACCAGAGGGAACTGTGGGAAGTCAGCGTCTTTACATGACTGTAGCCTTGGCCAAAGAAGTGACCTTGCTGGACTTCAGACATAAGCCAGACACAAATAGCACACCACTGCAGATACACACTGACAGACCACAGTATCACTTTCAGACAGATTTGAAGTAAAGAGACACGTTTATCGAATCTGCAATGCAATTAAGTTGAACTATAAAACCCAACAAGTTTGACTTGTCACATTCACACTAATACTAATACGAAACCTAAACTTTTCTTATTTGACACCATTAATTTAGAATCTGATTTATAATGTTAAGCTTGTTTAATTCAATCTGTCAAGCAAATATTTCTGTTTTGACTGGACGATTTCAAACAGACTTCTGGGAGGAATATATTTGTCTTTTTTTGTAGACACATTCAGAGCTTCTCTTAAAACCTCATGTAAAGGGTGTGTGGTTAATATGACTCATGCCACAAACATTAATTGGCTTTACATGTGACTTTCAGGCCTTGCCTAGTGTTAAGTTAACGAGTGTCTTACCATGCTTTAAATATTATCTAATTGTGATATAACTCTTTTCATCGTTTAAACTGTTTCTATAGGCGTTTAAAACGTATGCAATAAGTTGTATATTATACTGAAGGACGTGTGTTCATATGAGTTACATATGTTCTCGTAATGTAGCTGATCTGAAGATAGTTTCGTGAGGACTATAGGTTTGATATAATGTCAAACATAAATATTAAGTAATGTAAAGTCTAAATTTGTATAAAGTGATAGAAAAAAAGAAAAACATAGTACATACCCTTTTCAGACATCCTGCGTTATCTTCTTCTTCTTCTTGTTTTGACGGATCGCTCTTTTGGAACATTACGGCCACCTACTGCACTGTAGTAGGAACGTCACTCCCATGAGCTTGTAGCTCTGCTTATAGTGAGCTAGTGAGACAGGGCTGCTGCTTAAAGGGATAGTTCAGCTATGACCTAAAAAAAAATGACAATTTGTTATTAACTCACCCTCCGGCCATCCTACGTGTCTTTTTACCTCGTCCTGAGCGTGTACCCCAGTCTGTCACGTGAGCTTCCTGACTCGTAATGATATAAAGCTGAGATCAAGCCCCCTGATAAAACAATAAAACTCACCAATCGCTCGACAAGATCTCCAATGAGCCGGCATTCTGGTGTAGAACCTGGAAGCGCTGAATTGGGTGAGAAATCAACTGCTCAAATTGGCACTCACCAGCCAATTTGGCTACTAAATTTTTAAATTACTGGCCATTCAGAACTTTTACTAGCCAAAAAGAATGAAAGAAAGATATAAACCAGATTAAATATAATATAATATATATATATATATATATATATATATATAGCTTGTTTACTTCTGTAATTGGCATGATACATTTTTACCTGACAAATAAAATGTTAGATTTGATTTATTCTGTATTATTCTGAAATCATTATTTCTATTTGATTAGTGTGGAGTCTAGTATTACCACGAATCTGTGTGCAGGATAGATCATACCAAAGGCCGAATGAATGGAGAATGGAGGACATTACTTCTGAGTTCTTCTGACTATCACTGATCTAGCAAGTTGATGTTTTGTGACTAAAAAAATTACACTTTTTGTTATGATCAAGCAGGGCATGGTTGACTTAAAGGTAAATAGTTCACCCTGCTTCCTCTGTCTAAAATCAGAATCGGTGTCGGTGAGCGCATGACCTGGCCAGATTGTGACTTAATGATACCGGGTCCCTTAATGAACGAATATTTGAAAGTATAGGCTATACCCAATGTTTTACCCAATGGATACCCAATCAATGATCTAAATTAATACATAACAGATATTTATGATTAGTTCCTAAATGGAAACACAATCTAAATTTAATAATCATTGAAATTGGAGTCAGATTAAGCGTGGACCTAAAGTAATATTTAAACTAAATTCTAAAAATTAAGTGAACTCCACCAGTGCGCTGATAGGGCACACAAGCATTATACCTTCGCCCTCGACATTTCGTTGTTGGGCCGACGGGTGGTTCCTTAGCTACAGAACTTAAAGATCTCCCTCTTTTTGTTTTCTTTATTGCTGCATTAAAGATGACTTGATGACATGACATGACACAGGTGCAGTGAGGGAAAAAAAAAACACTGAGTTTAGGTTAATCGATTTGTAGCTCTGATTCAACTGTGTGATACCCTCAAGAGGAGCGAACAAAATTTCTGACATGACAGAAATTCATCAACTAGAAATCAATTAATTAATTGCCAGTCGGGAGAGGTTTATCACCTCTCGTTTCGTCCGGTTCAAAAAAGAGTTGCACGAGTCAGAATAGGCTACGCCTTTTTCACGGCAGCGACATCTTTGATTTTTAATGAGAATTAAAGCGAGGCTGTGAGGGATAGACTTGCATCTCTTCAATGGGCTGTATTGTTAGTTAATGTGTTTTCGGATTGTTCTGCTCATGAAACACTGGAAAAATATCTTTCAAAGAAATGTCAGTTGACAAAAAACTCCCGACAATGTAAACTGTGGAAAATTGTAAGTAATCTAGCCGCTTTATTCAGCTTTTTACAGCAGATGCCATTGGAAACACGGTAAGTCTATCCCTCACAGCCTCACTTTAATCATGGCGCTGCTCTGAATAAGGTCTATAGCGTGTTGTTTGAAGATCGGATGCGAAAACATATTTATGTGACCAGAGGAGTATTGCACAAAAGTAGAATTAAGAAAGCCAGGATAACTGAACAGTCGCGGTTTGACCTAGTCTGATCAGTGCATCCTGGCTTAATCCGTTGCACGTTTGCTGAGCCAGGATGAGAACTATGTCAAGCGGCTATGTATATAGTTTGGATAAATGCACGTTCACGGCATGAAACTTAAATGAAACTTAAAAAAACAATTATTTTGCCATGGAACAAACTATAGTTTAATGAGACCAAAGATAGACTTACACAAGACGAATTATACGTCAAGTTTATCCAATAGACTAGACCAGAGACATCAGAGCCAGCGGCAAACGTCAGAAGCACTAGCTGAGGAAAAGCTGTTCCAGTCGGGGTTGAAGAGCGCTGGGCGCCGGTGAAGGCTTGGAGGTCAGAACTCCGAAAACGTCAGATGCATTTTTCAAATAGGCGCTGTCTTTAGAAATAAACTACTACAGATTTGACATTTAAACAATCACATTCTCGCCTGAAACACTCTTAAAATTACATTTCATTACACAAGTTCAGTAGTATTTTGATATTTCGCAGATTTTCTCCTCTCCCATTGACGCTTGCTGGTTGGTGCGAGATCCATTCTGGGATATCTCAAGTCCGCACAAGTCACCTCTCAATGCATCCTCGGTAAACGGGGCGGATCAAGAACACATCCGGGGATTTGAAGTGGACTTGGCTAGATGTGAACTTTGAATTGGAACAGTACTTGGGCAGCGACTGATGACGTTTTACAAGTCCACAAGAACAGACAAGAACGCATATTGAGAAACGTGTGCCTGACCTCAGTAGTCACGGCAACAATAATCAGACACACCTGAATTAATCAAGTTCAGCCAATAATGGAAGACAGGAAACAAGGAGCTGGCCTAAGTTCAGGAAGTAGTGCAGCTATGCATAAAGCCAATTAGCCCAAAATAAATATCTGCCGAGTTAGTAATGGACTGAACACAAAATGCAGAATTGAATTGTTTACATAGCTATCTCAATTACAAAAACTATAAGAGGAAAACAAACCAAAAAGAAGAAGGTGTAAGAATGAGATGTTTTATAGATGATAGAGGATGGGTAATATTGAGAGGGAGAGGAATGCCGGAAGAGGTAGAAAGAGATGAGGGGAAATGAGTAGATAGGAAGAGGAGATGAGCAAGAAGAGTTGGATGTAGGAAGAGGGAGAAGAGAGAGTAGAGTGGAAGGCAATGGTATTAGTGGAAAGGGCAAGAGAAGAAAATATAAGAAGACTTGGACAGAGGAGAAGGGGAGAGCAAGGTGTAAGAGGAGGGAGGAGAGGGAGAAGGATAAAGTACAGACAGGTTTCAACTGAAATCAGACCTACCCTAATTGACCATGTCATAAATGATGGTCTTACCTTGAGGGAAGTGGACAGAGAGTTCAGCCCAATATAAACATTGCGCCACAATGTCCCTGGAGAACAAGTGCTGCAGTCCACTGGTGTTGTAGCATACAACACTGTCTTTGGCCTGCACAATACAGTGGGGCTGTAGGCTCTCTCAAAGCTTTTTAAACTCCCTCAATGAAATCCACTTTCCGCAGGGTGATCAGGGGCAAATTGAGGGAATTTGTAGTTGTTTGGAACAATTTCCAATTTCACAATTCATCGCTGGAATTGTGAAATCACTGGTTTGAGCATCATCCCCATTTCAGGATGGTGTTCCTTCTAGCATATTCTCCTTCCAGTGTATGATCGCAATCTTTACAACCAAGTAAATCTTCTTTAAGCAATAGAAGAGGCCAGTGGAGAGGTTGCCACAAGGATGGATCCAGCACACAGGTTTTGTTTTGGGTTTTTTTTTCTCCACAATGCATGACTCATGGAAATATACACTGTGATGTTGATTAAATTCTTTGAACAGATGTAAATGAGAGGTAAAATCTATACTTTTTATTTCTTGGATTGTCATTATCTACAGATGAATTTGTTATCAAATCAACAGAGAGCACACTTGTAGTTTTGATATCACTTTTTATTTTCGATAAATGCATTACTAGAATAAAATGCAGTGCTTCATTATGCAGTGAATACTGAAATGTTTAGCCACAACACAAAATGTGTGTTTAGTTTGCTGTGTTAATTGTTTTGAGAGCAACTACATTAATTAGGAGAAATGTACCAAATCAGAAAAACTGTACTAAACTGAAAGAAAATCTTGTTGTGTTTTGGTGATTAAACCAAATGTTCTCACTTAACTGACGCCTTGGGAAGCATTTGGACATGCTTCAATATCTGACGCTTTAGGCGCCCTTTAGCGTCAGTCAGATGACGCCCTAGGATCGCGTGTACCCTACCCCCACCCCACACCTAAACCTAACCAACGCGTTCTCATCCCAAAGCGCCATATGCAACGCTTTTGCAAAAGCGTAAATATCCAACGCACATGGCACCCTTTAACGTCTAATGAGACGCTTCGGTTATGGTTAAGTTAAGGTATGGTGTAGGGTAAGGGTTAGACCACTAGGGGGCGCCTTCTGCCCAAATATATCAGCGTCTCATTTCACGTTAAAGGGTGCCATGTGCGTTGGATATTTACGCTTTTGCAAAAGCGTCCTATATGGCGCTTTGGGATGCCGCGTCCTCTAACTGACGCTTTCCTTTAGCGTCAGTTAGATGACGCCGTAGGATCGCGTCATGTAAGTGACGCTAAAGGGCGCCTAAAACGTCAAATATGAAATTGAAAAGATTTTTATCAACTTCTTTAATGATGTTATTCGGGACTTCTAGTGAAATACGAGGTCTTTATGTGAAGCTTTTATGTTATTTACTTCATGATCTCATACCGGTTTCTTTTTTTTTTTTTTTTTTTTTTTATTGTATTATTATTTGAATTTATGTTGCATTTTTTTATTTACTGTAATGTATAATTATTTCAATAAAAAAATAAATAAATAAATAAAAAAAAAATAATAATAATAATAAAACGTCAAATATTGAAGCATGGTCAAAGGTGACGCCTTGGGGTGAGAATGCGTTGTACAACAATGTGTTTTGAAACAATCATGTGTACACAATGTGAACACCTGTAATGGAAGCATGGGACTGGGTTTTGAAAGAATTCAAGTGTGATCAGTGTGATCATCAGTGTGAAAAATGCTCACCTTGTAAAAATAGCTCCAAAGCGAGGAAAAAACATAAATGGACTAAACCATAAAAAGGGTTCTTGAATGTTTGTCTGTGAAAC